GTGGCTCACACCTGTAATCCCAGCACTTTGGGAGGCCAAGCCGGGTGGACCAAGAGGTTAGGAGCTCAAGACCAGCCTGGCCAACATGGTGAAATCCTGTCTCTACTAAAAATACAAAAATTAGCCAGGTACAGTGGCAGGCACCTGTAATCCCAGCTACTCGGGAGACTGAAGCAGGAGAATCTCTTGAACTGGGGGGCGGAGGCTGCAGTGAGCTGATATCATGACACTACACTCCAGCCTGGGTGACAGAGTGAGACTCCATCTCAAAAAATAAAAAATAAGAAGGAAATGCTGTGCAACCCTGGGGCCTGCAATGAAGAAAGGGGAGGCCCCACCAGAGGAAACACCAGTGGAGCTGGGTCCTGGAGGGACCGAGGGGCAGGCACACAGGGAAGGGCTCAAGGAGGGTCCTGAGCAGCCACATAGAGGGCAGGTGGGGTGAAACTGGAATGGGGCCCAGGTGGGAGGGGAGCAGATTCCAGCCCTTCGTCCTGAAAATGCTGCTTAAGAGCAAAAGTGGCCACCGCCTTCAAGCAGCCCTTCTAGCTGCTGACCTGTGTCCCTGATCACTCCTCCTGGGTATCTCAGAGAACAGACCATCCCGTTCCATCTGTTTCCTCCTTCTGACCCGTCAGTGGTCTCCCTGGAGAGCATGGGAGAGTTGTCACCCAAGATTCGGGGCACTGAAAGGGGCTCGATGGCTCAGCAGGAAGTGCCTCCTGCACAACAGGGGCACCTGCCACCTGACAGGAAGACACACTCCCGCAGTCTCCCAACTTTCGAAAGTGTACCCTGGACCTTCCCAACATTTCTTTCCTGCATCAGCCACTCTTGGACTCCAAAGTCCCTGACATCTTCTGTGGCCTGGCCCCCCATCCCCTAATGGAGCGTGCTGCCTGGGACTCAGGTCAGGATGGGTCTGGCCTCCTGCTGGGGTGGTCCTAGCCATGGGTGGTGGGCCCCTGCTGAGGACTCCAAGATCCCTTGCACTGGGCCAGATCAGCGCCATGCAGCCTTCCTTCTCATGGCTGCACGTGGCAGCATCAGCCTTCCAGCGCACTGTTATTTTTCTGGCCCCTCTAAACATCAGGCATTCCTCAAGGCTCTCAGATCCCACAATAAGCAGAAAGATGGTCACTGTCATCATGGAGCATCACAGTCTGGTCTGGGCACCAATGCCAGTGAGCTGGCACATGTACCAGCACAGAAGAGCAAATGCATGGGCAGGGGTGACAAGGAAAAGGACAAGGACCATAGCTCTGTCCTGATGGGAGGGCCAGCTTCCACCCGAGGCTCCTAGCCCCCTGCTTGCCCCGCATACACCTCTGCAGAGCCTGGCCCAGCCTCCTTGCCTATGGCCTGGCCTTCACCCACTTCCTTACTGCACCTCACACACGGCCACTCTTCTATTCAGAAAGGCTCTTCGGGGTGTGCAATGGAGGCTAAGGTCTAAGCCCTTGGCTCAGTCCTGAACATGCTTCCTGGCCATCTCCTCCCTTGCTGGGCTGATTTCACTCTACACACACACACACACACACACACACACACACACACACACTCAGCCACAAACACATACACGCTCACACTTACAGATACACTCAGGCTCACCCACAAACACACAAACACTCATGCTCACACATACCACACTCAAGCCTGGCCTTCCCCAGCTGGCAGAACTCTGCTGAACATACCGGGCACCTTTCGCCCCTTCTCTTGGCACAAGATGCAGTCATGCATCAGTAACAACAGGGATGCATTCCCAGAGATGGATCAGGAAGTGATTTCATCATAGTGAGTACAACCTAGAGTGAACTTACACACACCTAGATGGCAGCCCGCTCCACATCTGGGCTATGTGGTCTAGCCTATTGCTCCCAGGCTACAAACCTGGGCAGTGTGGCACAGTACTGAATACTGCAGGCAACTGTAACACAATGCTAAGCATCTGCGTATCTAAACATATCTAAACATAGAAAAAGTACAGGAAAAATACAGCATTCTAAACTTAAGGGACAACTGTAGCCCATACGGTCCATAGTGGTTATGCGGTGCATGACTGTATTCCCTATGCCGGGGGCCTCTGCCTACTGCAGGCCAACCCCCTGCTCTAAGATGCTCCTAGGTTTCCCCAATTGAAACAAATCTCTCCTGCCCACACACTCCCACAGCACTGAGCTTAGACAAAGGACACTTCTTTACGTTGATTTGACAGAAAAGTCTGCTGTAATGACTGGCCCCTCACCTCTCACTACATTCTTAATGCCTGAAAGGTGAAAGGGTCATGCTGTGCCCTCCTGGAAGCAGGCCTGTGGTCAATGTCTGTTGAGGGGATGGGTAAGATTCAGAAGTTGAGGGAGGTGGGCGATGGGTTGAGTGCAGAGAGGTGCCCATCAGCAGGGGAGAGCAGACAGACACAGCTCCACTGCTCAGTAGCAGTGCGGACAAGGTAGCAAGCCTCCTGGGTCTTAGTGTCCCCATCTGTAAAGTGGGAATAAGAGCACCTGGCCTGAGAATTCCTGTAAGTACCAAATGAGAATATGCAGGTGAATCACACTCTGCAACAGGAAGCCTTGTTATGGTGATTAAGCCATCTCTTGTTATGGTGATTATTTTATTATTATTCCTGAGACAAAGGAGCAGGCTGTATTTACAAAGAATGGTGGTGGCTGGGGAGGGAAGTCAGGCAAGGCTGTGAATCAGTAAATGTGTTGCAGGCATAAAAATCACAGCCCTTACATCCTACCCTGTCAAATGAACTTTGTCAAACAAGAAAGTATATTTCACCAAATGTTGGCTATACTACAGTACATATGCTACCCATTTTCTCTTTCAACTCTTCAGCTAAGCAGCTTCCAACATTTAGGATAGAACAGTATTTCAGGCCAGGAACAGTGGCTCATGGCCTATAATCCCAACACTTTGAGAGATCGAGGCAGAAGGATCCCTTGAGGTCAGGAATTCAAGACCAGCCTAGATAACATACAAGACCCTATCTCTACAAAAATTAAAAATTAAATAAATTAGGTTGACGCAGTGGCTCATGCCTGTAATCCCAGCACTTTGGGAGGCCGAGGTGGTCAGTTCAAGACCAGCCTGGCTGATATGGTGAAATGTTGTCTCTACTAAAAGTGCAAGAAATTGACTGGGTATGGTGGAGTGTGCCTGTAGTCCCAGCTACTTGTGAGGTTGAGGCAGGAGAAACACTTGAACCTGGGAGGCGGAAGTTGAAATGAACCAAGATCATGCCACTGCACTCCAGCCTAGGCGATAAGAGTGAAACTCTATCTAAAAAAGAAAAAAGAAAAGGAAATTAGCTGGGCATGGTGGTGTGCACCTGTAGTCCCAGCTATTCAGAAGGCTGAGAGGAGGATGGCTTGAACCCAGTAGTTCAAGGCTGCAGTGAGCCACGATGGTGCCACTGTACTCCAGCCTGGGTAACAGAGTGAGACACTGTCTAAAAATAAAAAAAGAGCAGTATTTCACCAATTCTCTTAGTCTCAGTTGTCATTTTTTTAAAAGTACAATTTTACACACAGCAGGTAAGTACACACCTGTAAAAACCCACTTATGTGATTGTGAATTAAAGAACATTTTCTAGCAGCTAAGGGTCAACAACAACAAATTAAATCAATAAAGTCAACTGACTGTAAATGCCAACTCAGAGCCTGGCCTAAAAGGAAATGCCAACTCCATGGTCTGTTGTGAGTGAGTAAAATAATAGAAAAATTTGCACCCCGTTGATCAACAACCTCGCCTGGCCCATTCAGCAATTATGGAGTTTGCTCCTCCACTCCAGAACCCTCAACTCTGTGGAGAAAGTCTCCAAAGCCAGCACAGGGGAATGCCGCAGGCACAGAGCATTCTAGTTCTTGGCAAAGAAAAAACTCAAAGTGAGGAATGTTTGCAAGAACACTCACCTAGGTCAGCCATGTCTGGGACCCCTCAACCACAACACTGGAGTGTACGGGGAAAATTTAAAGGGCCAGTCCATCCCCAAAACTGTACAGTCCTGGTTAAATATTCTCAGTGTGAGGGCCTCATCATCAAGATTTTTCCTGTTTCATCTTTCCCCTTTGAAAAGAGTTTGAAATAAGATAGTTGTATCTTCCACTGGAAAATATAAAATTCAAAAGCACATCCTCTTCAGATTAAGAAAAGCTGGCTGGACGCGGTGGCTTATACCTGTAATCCGGCACTTTAAGAGTCTGAGGCAGGTGTATCGCTTTGAGCTCAGGAGTTAGAAACCAGCCTGGGCAACATGGTGAAACCCTGTCTCTACAAAAAATACAAAAATTAGCCGGGCATAGTGGCACACATCTGTGGTCCCAGCTACTTGGGAGAATGAGGCTGGAAAATCCCTGCTTGAACCCAGCAGGCAGAGGCTACAGTGAGCTGAGATCACACCACTGAACACCAGCCTGGACAAAAGAGTGAGACCCTGTCAGAAAGAAAGAGAGAGACAGAGACAGAGAGAGAGAGAGAGAGAGAGAGAGAGAGAGAGAAAGGCCAGTTTTGTACAGATTGGCATAATGACAGAGGCAGCCTTGTTGATGTCACTCATACATGAGAAAAGTCCTTTCCTCACCCTCTGATAAGTGGAGGTGAGGAGGCAGTGGGACTCCAGACCTGGTGGTGCCCTGACTGCTGTCACCAGTCAGTCGCTCTGGGCTGGTGGCTCTGGGCCCTGCGCCTGTTTCCTCTCCAGAGAGACAAAATATTTCTGCCTGACAACTACCCTCAAAGACAGCTGGAGAGGCAGACTGTGCTCCTGGCTGCTGTTCCAAGTACCTGGAGCCTGCAACCGACAGACAGTTATCACCAATCTACTATGTGCCATGAGCCCAGATTACAGGGGTTGGAGACATGGCAAGGAACAGGAGAGACAGAGCTCCTCCTGCCTCCCAGGAGCCTAGGGTGTGGCATCCACAGGACACAATGCTGGCTTTGAAGCCTCTGGTCTGATCCAGGTGCCTGTTTTCCCTGGGGGCCTGACTGACCATTTTACCTCTCTCCTTAGTTCCTGCATCTAAAAACAAGCACAGGGACGAAGACACCGTCATTGGTCCCACAACACTCCCTTACTCCTGTATAAGATCTATACCCCAAATCTCTCCTCAGGGCCCAGAGCCACCTGCCCATGCCCACTTGCTGGTGATAACAGTCAGGGCTGGGAACCCACTGCCACCTGTTCTAGGAGACTAGGTTACCAGAATCAGGGAAGCCGGGCTCTAAGTGGGCAGAGTAGAGACAGGAAGCTGACAAGATGATGCCAGAAGGGAGGGTCCATGCAGAGGGTAGGGGCAGAGCGCTGGTCCCAGCAGTGTGTGGCCAGTCTGAGATGCTGCACCCAGCTGTTTCCTCCAGTCCTGCTGGAACAGAGGAGGAAAACAAAAGGAGGGGCAGGTGCCCTCTTCCTCCAGTCCTTTATTTCCAACCAACTGAGGTCATTAATTCCACCTCTGTGGGTGCCACCTGACTTCACACTGTGTCCTAATTTTCTGTGTGCCTGGGTGCCCAGCTGCAGTTGAGTTGACCTGGAGGGTGGGGCTCAGAAAACTGAGATGAATAAAATTCATCTCAGTCCCAAGACAAAACACAGTAGCTCAGCAGACAAAATCTCATGGTGTCCCAACCCCACAGCCGGTCTTCTTTTCACCTGTACCTAAATGTGGGGTCTCATGTGGCCTGGAGGGTCTCCTGCAAAGTGATGGGTTCTACCTCAACTGACACAGCCACGACCCACTAGCCTCCCTGTTGGGTACCACCACCCCAGTTGCTGTCCTGGCTCCCTGAATGTGGCCTCATCCTGCTGCTTGCACACATGCCTGCTTCTTCTCCCTACTGTTTCTCTCCACCTAGACCCTCCCCTGTCCAAACAGCTATTCCACATACTTCTTCCATCAGCCCCTTTGGCTCCTCCTGAAACAATCTCAAGTCAGCTTCCTCTTGATCACTTCATGCCCATATCACAGAGATCATCTCTGAGCTAGGACCCAGCTCCAAGCACTCTTTGTGTAAGCGGCCAGACCATCTAAAGGTGTCACTCCTCAAGAACCTACCATAGCTTCCTACTGCCTCTCATAATGTGAGACTCTACCTTCAACAGGTGATTACTGAGGACCTGCCTGCCAGTTGCACCCTAGGGAACAAGGACGAATAAAACAGGCACATTCTCTGCCCTTATGGACCTAGTCTAGGGCTTTAGGGAAGACAGACTATCAATCAAATAACCCCACAAAGAGAAAATTACAAAAGGCTAAGTGGAAAAGGTTTCCATCCCCACCAGTAGTAACAAAGAAGATGACCTGGTTTGTCAGGAAAGGCTTCTCTAAAGAAGTAATGCCCCAGCTGAGATATGAAGAGGTACAGGGATTCACTAGAGGATGAAGGGTTTGGAAAGAGCATTCCACAGAGAGGGAACAGCAGATGCAAAGGCCCTGAGGCAAGATAATGTATCACCTGTGCAGGTGACAGAAAGAAAAGCCAAAGGGCCACTGGGCAGAGGGAATGGGGAGGGCAGACCTGGGAGACACAGGGAGCAGGTGTTCTGTCAACTGCCAGGAGCAGCGCCTGATCCAGCCTGGCTTCCTATCAATGTGCACCAGAGAAGTGACTTTATGTTAGCCTGACCTACATGCATCAGTAAATAGATTCCACTATGAAGTTGTAAAACCCAGAAACAGGAAAAGACAAAAGAGTGGCTGAGGACATATCACCCTGCAAAGGCTCCAAAAAGCAACCTAAACCCAAAAACATTCTGTTAAGGTGTGTGTGCCTAGGCAAGGTTAGGGGACAGGTGCAAAGATTTGCTACAGTAGAGTGTCAGGTGATGATTATTGGCTTTTCTGTCATGTGAAATGTTCACAAACAGAAAAATAAGAGCCAACCACCACTCTGTGAAATGAAAATGAACAATTAAAATACTGTTGTGTGTTTTAAAACTAAATAAAGAGCTAATAGTTGATAACGCTCTGATTTGGAGAGGGATAGTTGGCATTTGGGAATGTGGGAAATAAATTGGAAATTCAGAATTTTCTACAGGCCCTAGAACATTTAGTCTGGGAAAACAGTCATGGATTTGGAGACCCTGCTTGCCATACATTTGAAAAATGCAGGGAAAACAGTCCCCTCTGTGGAGCATTAAAGAGCTGGCAATTCAACTGAAATGGCCATGATGCCCTGGGATTCTACCTGAGGAAACCTAACTATGTCAAAAGAATTTCTTGTAAATTACTAACTTAGAGAAAAACGAACCTTAGGCTTAACCAACCACAAACTGCCAATAAAGATCTGACTACTGTTAGGGACAAACCGCCCCAAAAACAGCTTCTTGGTACTGCCAACATCCCCCACCCAAACCTCTCCTTGCCAACCCTCCCCTTCTCCCAAGCCTTTGTACATTTTGAAGTCCTTATCTAAGCGCAACTGTGAAGCCAGTGGACTTTACCTATCAGGCCTTGCTTCAATAAAGCAAACACCAATTACAAACCATCTGGACCACACAAAGGGAGGTCGTGGAAGCATAAACAAACTTTACCTACACCTTTTAGTACCATAAACATCACAAGGTAATATGTGGCAGAAAAACAAACAACACTGGGATGCTGCCATAACAAAGGACTCCCTCAAACTCCCTCCCCCAATATAAATCCCTCATTCTGTAAGCTTGGGGCTGCTTTTCTTGACTGTTAAGGGGGCAACTGGCAGGTTTAATAAACTTACTCGCGTGAACTTGGGTGTCTCTCTCTCTCTCTCATTCTTTCTCTCAGATAACCCTACGTTCTGGTACCAAAAACCGGGAAGGGGATAGACACTGGCCAGGACTCTCTTTCTTTCCTTTTTTTCTCTTTCTCTCTCTCGCTCGCTCTTGCTCTCTCGCTGTCCCCTATCACTCCTCTCCTGGCCAATCTCCCCTTCCCTGAACCTGCCAAAAACCCAGAGAATCTCCTAGACTCTCCCGTTGTTGGTGACTTCATCCACCATCAAAGCCTCCATCAGGACGAGGAAAAAGAGACTGTTGCTGTTCCCTGGAACCCTTGACCATCAGTCTCTCCATTTCTGAAAGACTCAGCGCTGGGCCAAGGGCTTCCTTCTGCCTCTGGGCCTCTGGTTCCTCCGTTTCAGGGACGTCTGACTTGGTGGTTACCTCCTCTATTCTGGACAAGTTCTGCAGGAAAGACAGGTTCTCTTCCACCATCCTTGTCACTGACAGTCTCTTTCTCCTCTACCCTCCCCTCCTCCATTCACTATAGAAACCTCTCAGTCCACCCCTTCCAAGACCACCCCCCTTGGGTGTCTCCTCTGCAATCTCAGTGCTCTCGGCCTTGGTTCAGAGATCTAAGAGGCTTATCTTTCTCAATGTACTTAAAGACAGACAACTTTTGCCATCGCCATGGAAAATGGCCTGAGATTCCTTATGTTCAGGCTTTCTTCCCTCTCTGTAACTGCCCTTCCTTCTGTCAGTCCTGTTCTACTTTTCAAATTCTCCTCGCCCACTCTAAACATGATTCACCTCCTGCTTCCCTCACCCCAATAGCCCCAGCTATGACTTCTCCTTCGATCCTGCCAATCTCTCCCCTCCTCGACAACACCCTAATTCCCCACCAGAACAGCATGACCTCCCACTGTATGCCTCCCGCTCTGTCTCTACCTCTCTGTCCCCCTCTCTCCAACCATCCCGCCTCTGACTCTAAATCCTCCCCATCTCCACCGCTTGTTCTCAACCCCAGTATGTCCAACAGCCCTTGCTTCCTCTCTGGGAAGTGGCAGTGGCCAAAGAAATCGTCCATATTCACATTCTCTTTTCCCTCTCCAATCTCTTCCAAATTAATAAATGTCTCAGATCCTACACCTCCAGTCCCAGCACTTATATCAAAAAATTTAAATATCTTTACCAGTCTTAGGAACTAACCTGGAATGACCTCTATGTTATCCTCTCTTCTACCCTCACCCCAGAAGACCTAGACCATATCTGGATCCTAGCTCAGGCACATGCTGATACCATTCATCACCAGGCTCCTGCCCAGCCTACTGGCACAGAGGCAGTCCCTAACCAAAACTCCCACTCAAACCCCACAACAAGACCTTCTTAACTTAGCCTTCAAAGCCTTTAACAATCATGATGATGAAAAAAAAGGCAAAACCAGGCAGAGTTTCAAATGCTTGCCTCTGCCATCAGGGACCCTGCAGGCCCATGGGGCTCCACACAGAAACCTCCTAGCAATCCACCTCTGCTTGGCGCATGTTTCAAGTGCAGCAGCCAAGGCCACTAGTCCAGACAATGCCCTAACCCAGGTAAGCCTACCAGGCTGTGCCCCCTCTGTGGAGGACCCCACTGGAAGTCGGACTGTGAGTGGCCCCACAAGGACCGTCCCCATCCCTTCCTAAGCCGGCCAAAACCTCCTACTCAGATCTCATAGGCCTTGCCACTGAAGACTTACAGTGCCTTGGAACGAATGCCCCAGCAACTACCATCACTTCATCTGAGCCAAGGGTAATCCTGATGGTGGCAGGTAGGCCAGTATTTTTTTTGATCAACTCTGGGACAACCTACTCTGCTTTACCTAGTTTTTCAGGACCCACTGAGTCCTCCCAGGTCTCTGTTTTGGAATTAGTGAACAAGTCTCCAAATCCCAAGCCACTCCTCCACTCTTCTGCTCCCTGCACACCTTTTCCTTCACTCACTCTTCCTTAGTCCTGCCCTCATGTCCAACTCCGCTCCTGGGCAGAGACATCTTTTTCAAACTCCAGAATATTCTCCACCTCCATGGTAACCTTCTTAGGAATTTAACTTTCCCCTGGGGCCAAGCTATGACCCCAGCCTGAACAGCATTAAAACATAATCTACCGCCACCCTCTTTCAAAAGCAAAATCCTTTCCTTCCTAGGGCTAGCAGGCTTTTTAAAAATATGGATTCCCGACTTTGCCCTCCTAGCTCTCCCCATCTATAAAGCAGCCAAAGGTTCTCTCAATGAACCCCTAAATCCCTCACTTAATATACTTCCCAGCTTCTGCAAACTCCAAACTACTCTTGTCACTACATCAGCTCTGTCCTTACCTG